GCGCCACCCAGGCGCCCCTAATTCTGTCATTTTTAATATGTATGTGATTCAAAACAATGTGCGTTTTTTTTTTTGTTGTTGTTGTTCAAACATGGTTTTCTACATTGCTTCATAGAAGTCTCATTACCAAGGGTTTCAAATCTATTGCATAATTTTTTTTTTAATGTTTATTCATTTTTGAGAGAGAAAGAGAGTGAGTGGAGAAGGGGCAGAGAGAGAGGGAGACACAGAATCTGAAGCAGGCTCCAGGCCCTGAGCTGTCAGCACAGAGCCCGACATGGGGCTTGAACTCACAAACCACGAGATCTTGACCTGAGCCAAACTTGGATGCTTAACCGACTGGGCCACCCCGGCACTCCACATCTGTTGCACACTTTAAGATTATATGTTTGGGGCGCCTGGGTGGCTCAGTCGGTTAAGCGGCCGACTTCGGCTCAGGTCATGATCTCGCAGTTCGTGAGTTCGAGCCCCGCATTGGGCTCTGTGCTGACGGTTCAGAGCCTGGAGCCTGTTTCAGATTCTGTGTCTCCCTCTCTCTGACCCTCCCCTGTTCATGCTCTGTCTCTCTCTGTCTCAAAAATAAATAAACGTTTAAAAAAATTAAAAAAAAAAGATTATATGTTTTATGTTTCACACCTGAGAAGTTATTTTAAAATATCCCATTCTAGAAGATTAACTTCTTGTGTTAGTTTTTTGAAATATATATTCTTGGTTGATAGTACTAAGTACGTAAACATTATGACATTTTCCTTCTGGTTTGTATTTCTTTAATTCCTCTACAACTGTCATGATTTTCTCAGTAAAATGACTTACTCATGGGGTGCCTGGGTGGCTCAGTCATTTGAACATCCGACTTTGACTCAGGTCATGATCCCACAGTTTTTGGGTTCGAGCCCTGCATCAGGCTCTGTGTTGACAGCTGAAAGCCTGGAACCTGCTTCAGAATCTGTGTCTCCCTCTCTCTCTGCCCCTCTGCTCGGTCTCTCTCTCTGTCTCTTTCTCTCAAAAATAAACATTAAAAAAATTTTTTTTTTAATTTTTTTTAACGTTTATTTATTTTTTGAGACAGAGAGAGACAGCGCATGAACGGGGAAGGGGCAGAGAGAGAGGGAGACACAGAATCGGAAGCAGGCTCCAGGCTCTGAGCCATCAGCCCAGAGCCCGACGCGGGGCTCGAACTCACGGAGCGCGAGGTCGTGACCTGAGCTGAAGTCGGCCGCTTAACCGACTGAGCCACCCAGGCGCCCCTAAAAAAAATTTTTTTAAGTGACTTAACTCCTAATGGGTGAAAATCCAAATATTGCTTATGTAGTGGCCTCCTCCCAGAGTAATGGTCTTGCAGCTCAAGAGTGTGGGAGGGGAGCCAAACACATTCATCTTCCCGACTTGTCTGTCAGCAACTAGAAAAAACAGCGTTGTTGCTGTTGTGAGTCTTAGTTGTGCTGGGAATCCGTTATTACACGGAGCTCCAGGCAGAACTGCCTTGAGGAAACTAACAGTTTCTGGAAATGCTGCTTCCCAGTGTGTGCTGTCCACATACCTTAGAGGTGTAATGGAAAACTGACCCCAGAATGGAAACGTGTCCTTCCTCCCTTACTCCTTCCTTGCTGGGAATTGTGCTGAACAGGACACTTCTAACTGTGACGGATGTGTAGTTGGTTCATAATGCTTCACCCAGTGGTGTCTCCTTGTATTATTCCCAGTGGAGGAAGAATAGTCCACTCATGTTTTTGTTGATCTGCCCCAGTTGACACAGAGATAGCAACTGATCTGGCATGGTGGGAGTCTGGTTGTATTTCGGGTGGGGCTGGTTGGGCTTCACGTCTGAGATGATGTGTAAGGGGAGCGGTTCCACGGGGACTTGGGGAAGGAAATGTCAAAGGAAATGTACAGGAAGTTGGTAGTGTAAATGGAAAATAAAGATATCTGTGTCTTCAGAGAGTAATACTTATGTGTAGTCATTCCAGCCAATGTCGGAATGGGCTTTCCTCTCTGCTGTCCTCAGTCCCCCAATATGACCTTGTCACCGGCCGACAACACACTGACCTAACAACACGGAAGGTGTGGATCCCAACAACATTGCGATTTCAGCACCGACGGTGGGAAATAGTCTGTATGTGACATTTTCCGTGGGACTCTTGCTTGTTCATAGCATAACCGTGAAATCCCTGATTTCAAACATGGTCTGCAAATACCCAGGTGAGGTTTTCCTTGTGAAGTGGTGTTCCTTTTCTCTCTGGTGCCTTTCTGATTCTGACTCTGCAGTTTTGCAGGGACAACCCCAGAGTTCGCGTTTAGAGGCTGTGAATGGGCACCTGTTCTGTGGCCATTAGGGGTTGGCCAGTGTCGTATGGTCACAGGAGGGGGCACAGGATGCCCCAGGACAACAGTTTATTACACTCAGGTCTGAGAGGGATGGTCAGTGCATGTAATGAGGGGGTGACCCCGGGGAGCACCACGGGAGTGAGCACGAGCAGGAAGGTGGGCGGCCGTGAGCCCGAGGCCATGTGGGCAAGTGCCTACAGTGCCTGGATCAGCACGGAATGTGATGGTGTGCTTTGAGC